CGCCCATCTGACTTCTGCTTTTTAAATGTTGGATTATTCTATCTATCTGTCTGTCTATCTATCTATCTGTCTGTCTGTCCGTCCGTCCGTCCGTCCGTCCGTCCGTCCATCCATCCATCCATCCATCTATCTATCTATCTATCTGTCTGTCTGTCTGTCTGTCTGTCCGTCCGTCCGTCCGTCCGTCCGTCTGTCTATCTATCTATCTATCATATCTATCTATCTTCTCTCTCTCTCTCTCTCTCTCTCTCTCTCTCTCTCTCTTCCTCTCTTTTTCCATGATCTTGCTCAGTAGCCCTGGCTAGCCTGGGACTTGCTGTGCATACCAGGCTGGCCTCAAACTTTGGCAGTACTGCACCTGCCTTCTGAGTGCTGGGACAGCAGGACCACAGGCATATGCAGCCTTGTTCTGAGCTCATCTGCTTTTTTTTTTTTTGTCTTTTTGAGACAGGGTCTCCCTGTAGCCCCAGCTGTCCTGGAACTCACTATGTAGACCAGGCTGGCCTCGAACTCACAAAGATCTGCCTGCCTCTGCTCCCAAGTGCTGGGATTAAAGGCATGTGCCACCATGGCCGCTTACTATTTATTTTAAAAAGTAACTTATGGGGCTGGAGAGATAGCACTGCGGTTAAGAGCACTGGCTGCTTTTGCAAAGAGCACTGGTTCCTTTTGGAGGATCGACACTCTCTTCTGACCTCCTTGGGCATTGCATGACACGGGTGCACTTACATACATGTAGTGTACTTACACACAAAAATAAAATAAAATATTAAGAAATTTAAAAGGTTATTTATTTATATGTGTATGAGTGTTTTGCCTACATGTATGTAAATGCACCTGTGTCATGCAATGCCTGAGGAGGCTAGAAGAGGGCGTCAGATCCCCTCAAACCGCAGTTATGGACCATTGTCAGCTGCCATGTGGGTGCTGGGAACTGAACCCAAGTCCTCTGTAAGAGCATGCAGTGCTCTTAACCACTGAGCCATCTCTCCAACCACCCATTATTTCTGATAAACTTGTCATTAGTACTTCGGACATGGGGGCCATGCCTGCAATCTCATCACTGAAGAGGCTGAACATGAAGATCACCACAAGTTTCAGTCTGGCCTATGCTACAGAACAAGACCTGGGTCAACAAACAGCAAACAAAAGACTGAGGTGGGTATGCAGTGCCTGGTGGCATTAGACATGGGGATGAAGTTGCAATTGCTGTGGGCATGGCTGCCATTCTTTCTTGCTTCACATCTATTTAGTGATCTGCAGGAATTCCTTTTGCCACGCAGGTGCTGGGAATTGTACCCAGTCCTCACATGATAAGCAGTACTGTGTTCCTTACTGTCAATCATCTTGCTTCAGACCTCTAAGGCCGATGGATGGCCTCCCTGTGTGTCCCATGGGGTAACAATGTGGTTTACTGACTAGTGCAATGCATTCCTCAGCTGACTCTTGAGAACTGCTACCTTGAAAAAGGAGCCTGTATCTTGCTGTTCTGGTACGATCCAAGCGCCAGGGAAACCAAACACCCTACAGGAGAGAAAGCACTTTTTTATTGAACAATTGCAGGTAATAAATGAGGAACAAGAGAATTTTAAAAATCACTATTTTGCAACTCTTGATGAAATAATGGTATCAGACAACACTCACCCCAAGATGAAACTACTGGTTAGGAGGCGAATGGGTGAAACGTACAAGAGTGGCCAGGCCATCTCAACCCCTGTGGGGTCTCTTTACTCAGAGGGACACATGGAAGGTGTGTGGAGTCCTGTCTTCCCAAGTGGAATATGAACCCAGCCAAACCTTCAGAGGTTTGATAACTGGGAACACAGGAGCTGGGGGGTGGGGAGAAGGTGCAGGGTGGGAAAGGACATCAAGGAAGCAAAGAGAAATGCAGAATGCAATATTCCATAGGACAATTGCTGTTTCTGCCTCGATGGCACTAAAAACAACTAAAGAGCAAAGAGGAGGCAGGTTATCCAAGATAAGAGAGACCCGAGAAGCTTCAAAACATAGGGAACAGAATCTCCTAGGTCCTGATTGTTGTTTTTTGTTTTTTTTTTGAGACAGGGTCTCCCTGTAGCCTCAGCTGGCCTGGAAGTTGCTATATAGACCAGGCTGGACTTGATCTCATGGAGATCTGCCTGCCTCCCAGTGCTGGGATTAAAAACATGTACCACTATGACCAGCTAAATTTTTTTTTTTTGGTCTTTTTGAGACAGGGTCTCCCTATAGCCCCAGCTGGCCCGGAACTCACTATGTAGACCAGGCTGGCCTTGAACTCACAGAGCTCTGCCTGCCTCTGCCTCCTGAGTGCTGGGATTAAAGATGTGCACCATCACGCCTGGCTCCAGCTAAATTTTTTAATATATGTTTTTGAAATAATTAATTTTTTGTTTTTTGAGACAGGGTCTCCCTATAGCCCCAGCTGGCCCGGAACTCACTATGTAGACCAGGCTGGCCTTGATTTCACAGAGATCCACCTGCCTCTGTCTTGAGTGCTGGGATTAAAGGCATGTGCCACCACACGCTGTGTTCTGGCTATATTTTTAATTTTTATTTTATGTAAGTGTTTTGCGTGTATGTGTGTAAATGTACCTGTGCATGCAATATCTGAGGAGGCCAGAAGAGGGCATTGGATTCCCTGGAACTGGAGTTAGGGGCAGTTGTTGGTTGCCATGTGGATGCTGGGAACTGAACCTGGATCCTCTGCAAGAGCAGCCATTGCTGTTAACCACTGATTGGTTTTTTTGTTTTTTTGTTTTTTGTTTTTGGTCTTTTGAGACAGGGTCTCTCTGTAGCCCCAGCTATCCCAGAACTCACTAAGTAGACCAGGCTGGCCTTGAACTCAGAGATCTGCCTGCCTCTGCCTCCCGAGTGCTGGGATTAAAGGCATGCACCACCACGCCTGGCCTGATTGTTGTTTTTTAAGACAAGGTCTTATATATGTGGCTTGAGAGACCTGGAATTTACTATGGGTCCAGTCTGGTCTGGGACTCCCAGTGATCCTCCTACCTCTGCCTGGAGGTGCTGGGATTATCCTATCATGCCTGGCTTTGAGAACTGATTTGATCAGATCTAAAAAAGATCTTTTTTGAGACATTTTATAAACTTTGAATATTGGCTAGATATTAAATATCACACTTAGTAATTTTCTGGGTGTTCAATGGCATATAACAAAATGTCTTTTTTTGTGTGTGTGAGTGTATTGCCTGCATGTATGCGAGTACACCCGTGTCGTACAATGCTGTGGGAGGTCAGAAGAGGGCTTCAGATTCCTCTGGAACTGGAGTTAAGGATGGTTCGTAGCCGCCATGTGGGTGCTGGGAATCAAACCCAGGTCCTCAGCAAGAACAGTCAGTGCTCTTAACCGCTGAGGCATCTCTCCAGGCCCCAACATGTTCACTTTTAAAGAGTGAGCTTCATGCCAATAGTGTAGGGGTTAGGAGCTATGATTTCTGGGATTTTCTTGAACTTCAGAGGGAAGGGCTAGAAAGGGGTAAGAGGCAAATGGGGGCTGGTTTTAAAAACAAGTGAACAGCCAGGTGTTATTTTTTATTTTTTGGTCTTTTTGAGACAGGGCCTCCCTGCAGCCCCAGCTGGCCTGGAACTCCCTATGTAGACCAGGCTGGCCTTGAATTCACAGAGATCCACCTGCCCCTGCCCCAAGTGCTGGGATTAAAGGCATGCACCACCATGCCTGGCTCTTTTTGTTATTTTAAAGTATCTATAAGCCAAGTGTGGTGGCACACTCCTGTTATCCCACCACATGGGAGGCTGAGGCAGGAGGATGACAACTTGGAGGCCAGCCTGAGTTACACAGTGAGTCCAAACTAGCCTCTAATAAGTAACAAGATCTTACCTAGAAAACAGTGATTAAAAAAATGAACATGTTGCCAGGTGTGGTGGCACACACATGTATTTAATCCCAACACTTGGGAGGCAGACCAAAAAAAGACCAAAAAAAAAAAAAAAAAGGCGGGGCGTGGTGGTGCAGGCCTTTAATCCCAGCACTCAGGAGGCAGAGGCAGGCGGATCTCTGTGAGTTCAAGGCCAGCCTGGTCTACATAGTGAGTTCCGGGCCAGCTGGGGCTACAGGGAGACCCTGTCTCAAAAAGACCAAAAAAAAAAAAAAACAGGTCACATTGGGTGTGGTGGCAGAGGCACACACATGTCTTTAATCCCAGCACTTGGGAGGCAGAGGCAGGCAGATTTGTGAATTCGAGGCGAGCCTGGTCTACATAGTGAGTTCCAGGCCAGTTGGGGCTAAAAGACCATGTCTATAAATTTTTAGGAAATCTAAATGGTGTGGTGCTGTGCACTAAGCTGAGGGCCTCATGTATGCTAGGCAAGTGCTCTCCAACTGCGCTATACCAGCAGCCCTGAGCATTGCATATCACCAATCCTGGATAAAATGTTCAAGATTACACAATT